TCACTCTCCCTTCCCCTATTCCACCGCTTCCCCTGTGATCAGCTGATGACGGATCTTTCCTGCGATCAGCTGATGACGCCTTCTTCACAGCTGATGCCTTGCTGCTCGCATGATGTTGAGTGCTGCCTGCTCTCGCTAACTTTTCACTTATTGACGCGCTGCCCATCCCCTTCTCTGCCCCTCCCCGCCTTCCTTGACCTTGTTGTACGTGTTTCAATGTATCAACCATCGTACTGCGGTTCTTTCAGGAACTTCCATGAAGGATGGTTCAGGGAACATAATGGTCATGAGAACTACAGAGTTCTGATACTGATAAACTGCATGATTGTTAATTTTGTAACCGTTTTTCATGGTTGTCCCGGAGGTAACAATACGATGTTTGCTATAGCTTATAGCTCTAAACTTCTTTAGGTGTTGTCATGCAAAGAGTGGGCTAGCAGCAAGGGTAAGACAAACGCAATCTGCGCTGTCTCCCAAAAGGTCTAATTGGGGGTGCAGTCGTTTTGCAAGATTCATAAAATAAACTAGCGGAGCACGGTGACATGTAAAGGTTTTACCGGTGCGCCCTCTGCAAGCCCACTAGGTCACAGCCCCGCAAGCTCCGCTGCAACCTACCACGCCCACCAGACCCCGACCCCCGCCACTGACACGGCTGCTCTGCATCAGAACTGTGTTTGCTTTCGCCTGTTTTGCCTCAAGGGCCACTTCCTCGATCTTCAAGACCAGCATTGGTGCTCGTGGCGTCTATGTGCGTGAGAGAGAGTGTGTGTGAGAGAGAGAGAGAGAGAGAGAGAGGGGGGGGGGGCTTTACGTCTTTCTTACTTGCCGCTGCTGCGATTTGAGAAATGACTCAAGTGTAAGACGTGCTCGTCTTTTGCTTTCTGCCCACACTCCTCCTCACCGCGACACAACGACTTGACCTCGCAGGGCACGCCCCTTATTGGAGCCAAGGCTGGTCGTTGGTAGTGAGACAACCCCATGCCGCGCGCCCCCGCCGCGCCGCGTCGCGTCCCGTCCCGCCACGCTACGCTACGCCACCCGCGCAAGAGTCAAGGCCATTAGGCAGTAAGTAAGTGGCCAGGCAGGTGGCTGTGGCTGGTGGTCTTGGCTGCGGCCGGCGTGGGGCGCGGCCTCGCACCTTAACCCGTTCGTTACCCGGCGCAGTGCGACGCACCCGGGACAACCAGGAGCAGTGTTCTGGTCAAGGGTGGAATTTCACACACCTTACAAGTGCTTGTAAAATACGCTCAACTTTGTTCTCTCTGTGCGATATTTTGTCAAGGGCGAGTTCTGATTTCAAGGGATGGTTAATCCTTGTGTGTGAAGAATGTGTCGCTTCCTTTTTGTGTGGGTGGAATGCTATTCGTACAACTGAGACTAAAATGAGTCCGAAATTTCGAGGAAAACTTGCACACTTACTTTGTTTAACTGTGCGAATGAAACGCCTACTTACAAGTGTACGGCATTTACGCACATGGGTTTCAAAGCGCAGTAAGCACAATTACGTATCCTGTTCTTTGTAGTATTTCCCACCAACAGAAAGTAAAAAGAAAAAAAAGAGACTACTAACGTCATCTAAATACATCGTCTCCTCTCTGTCGCGCACGACGCGGGAACAACACTTCCTGGCCTGTTTATTCTGCGCGGCCCGACAGGTCGGCGACGACACCCCGGACTGCGCCTGATGCCTCGCTGACTCATTCCCGCCCGGGGGTTGCGGGGACCCCGGGAGGGGCCCGGGAGCCCAATGACGGCGATCTTATCCGTCCCAGTGATTTATTTCGTGCGGGACCGAGGCGCTCTGGCCGCCGCCACCTTTGTGCTTGAGTGGATGGCGACGAGTGTGTGTTGGTGTGTGTGTGTGTGTGAGGTGAGAGAGGCCAGAGAGAGCAGAGAGAGATGCATGAAGGGAGGGAACGCGGGAGAGGGGGCAGAGTAGAGGGATGAGTGAGCGCCCGACCACTACTCACTTGCTGTCACTTTCGAACGCAGTGGTGAGGATGAGTCGATTTGTTTTGCCGCCGGCTGGCCGGGCGGGCCGGGGGGTGTGCGGTGGAAGGCGAGGGGACACGCTGAGAAGCAATACTCGTATACTTTGCATGAGTTTCCGTGCTTTGTGTGTGTGTGTGTGTGTTTCAAAAGTATTTTATGTATTCTCGTTTTGCGCCATACATGGTGGTAAAAACAATGTCTCATTTTTTGAAGGAAAGGGGAAAACTTTGTGGAACTCCCTTGGTTTGAGGCTCTTCAGATTTCAAGAAAGTCTCCTCAAGCAATGTAGGATTTTTCCTCATTTTTTGAGGAGATTTCCTCGAAATCTTAGGCGAGATCTGGGGAGTTTCTCTCATAGATGGGAGGTCCTCAAAGTTTCTTTTCTCCTCAAAAAATGAGACATTGCTTTTCACCGTGTAAACTAGTTGCTCGGATCAGTTTTTACAGGCTGTATTTGACACTCGACGCACTGTGCACCCCTCTTAATTAGTCTTTATTGTATTTATCTTTCCACTTTCGTGATATGACTCTAAGCTTCCCCCGAAATCGGTTAACTATAAAATACTGTTCCGTTGGCACAGAACACACACTGTTGTGCGCTGGATGTTTTCGCAGTTGTTAAGTGGTTTGCGTGCGGACTACACACGAAACAAAATCATGTCATTCGTAAAATAAAATTGCATGTTACTAGAGAGTGTGGAGTGCTAATGGAATGAAATTGTCTGTGAGTGTGGGCGCGTGCACCTGCCGCGATTGTAGTGACTAGTACTTTTTTTATTACTCTCCCTTGTGTGTGTGTGCGCGTGTGTGCTCGTGACGTCTGCGGTGTGTGTCTCAAGGCCGCCCCGCCTCGTTTGATGACAAGTTCAATGTCGGCGCCCCTGCCCCGCCCCGTAGGTCTTGTGATGTGGCTCTACACACCGCCAGCCCGCCGGGGCGCGCCATGCCAGGAAGCACCTCCGCCACCGCCACTACCCCAAAGTCTGTTGTCGTTATTGAAACCCTACGCCACGCCGCCGTCATGCGGTCCGTCGCGCCTAAAGCTGTTTTGTATTATTTATTTTCGTCTGCTTTAACTGCCGGCGCTCTCTCTACTTTTCTGCGTTGCTCTGCAGAGGTGCTTCTCTTTTTGTGATCTTTGACGACGTCGTCATATCTGAGAGGCCGGTGACGAGTTACTGACCCGCGACGGCCAAGGCTAGTGGCCGGTGGCCAGTGGCGCGGCTCGTGTCCGTCTCTCGGTGAAAGCAATGTCTGATGGTCGAGAAAAGGGAAAACTTTGACGAACTCCCATAGTTAAAGGAAAACTTCCTGGATTTTGATGTTGGGATTATTGTCATAATTTCTCGAAAGAATTTAATCAATGTCTGGCTTTTCATCAAATATGTTTTCCCCTTTTCCTCAACAATTCAGACATTGCGCTCTGTGTGCAAGATGAAATGCTGACAACAATATTTTTTTTCCTTCTCAAGCATCGGAGGTGTTGTCCCGTCCCGTATGACTTCATTTTTAATTTCTCCATCTGAGACTTTGCTATCCGCTGAGTCGGCTCCTGTCACGCAGGCGCCGCGAGACATATTTTTCGAAAATCATCAACACGGGTGTAATAAACACATTCTCTAGGGTAGAACGACAGCGCAGTAGCCGGGCTTGTTTCCCTGGCCCGTCCCAACGACGCCAGCCTGCCGCCCCGGCCCTACTGTATCGCGCCGGGCGCCAAGGTGCCGAACTCACATGCGGCCACTGGTCCGTATCGAGCAAGAGCGGCGTGGTGTTGTACAGAGAGAGAGAGAGAGAGAGAGAGAGAGAGAGAGAGAGAGAGAGAGAGAGAGAGATGTGGTGACAGCCTGAAGAGGCGGCGGCGTCACCGCTGTCTGTCGCGGCGGGGAGAGAGTATCGAAATGTTTATTTGAAAACAACTATTCGCGCCGCATCAGAGCGAGAGCGAGTGAGAAGCTAATGTGGACGGAACGAGCTAGACCAGCTAGACACATTGCGAAGCGCGGGAAGTGAGGTAGGTCGCTTCTCCTCGCCTGTCGTCTTATCCTGGAATAGAGAGCTCTCCACGGCACACACTCTCGCTCTCTCTCACGCGCTCTCTCTCTCTCTCTCCCTCCCACATACTTGTAACAAGCTTCCACCCTTCAAAGTAAAACTAAAAACACATCTGTTAAGTTTACAACACGGCATAGCTTAAGTTATACTGTTACAAAATCTCATTATAACCTTGTAATTATTCGCACTAGCGCTGCATAACTCATGAAATGTAATTTGGACTGTGATTTAAACCTTGAGATGTACTAATGGTACTCTCGTTGGACTTTTTAGTCCTTTTGTACCAAAGTTTACAATAAATCAAATCAAATCAAATCAAATCAAATCCCTGCACTGCCCCCCACCCCCCTCCTCTTTCGGCGACCTCAGCCTTCACACCGTATTTTCATCGTCCGCGTGTAGGAGAGCTAATGAAAAAGAGTGCAAGAGTTGGAGAGATTGTGAGACAGACAGAAAAAAAAAGTTTACAAAATACGTTAAATTTGAGTCCATGCACTCTGTAAAGTATCCTCGTACACTGTTAAAAATATTTTGTGTTTTCCCAACACTTTCACGGTACTAAGCAACTGTGAAATCGCGACATTTCTTTGTAGTCAAAATTAGTGCATTTTGCGATGTTTCTTGCAAATACTCTGGAAACTCGGGTGTGAGACAGTCTAACACCAAATGGTGTTAGGCAAAATACCTCACACCAAACGGTGTGAGGCAAACATACCTCACACCAAATGGTGTGAGACCCTCTGTGCCTCATACCATTTGGTATGAGAAAGTATCACTCCATTTGGTGTGAGGCACAACGAGTCTCACACCATTGTGTGTGAGGCACAACGAGTCTCACACCATT